AAAACCACAGGTGTAAATGATAAAATTAATACTGACTGAATTCCATGTAGCTGCTTCATGTAACATCTTTGTGCATGCTGGTTGTACTGGGACACTTAAACACCACTTAACGCAGTTGTTAACTTTCCACTATGAGAGGTCAAAAAGTATACTATGAAAATGGCCTATTTTTATTTTAATAGTTTTATAAATTATGATGGAATGGAATGGATTGTTTGTGTCTTTGTCTTCAGTGTCCATATTTTCACTGTTAACTAAATACATAATGCTTCCTAATCTTGTGTGTAATCTCCTTAGATGAACAACCTGAAGAAGGTCCTTCAGATGGTGGTTGATTATTATAATGAGGTACGTAGTGGCCATGTACACCATGTCCTCCATGTGGTTGCACAGTTTTTGTGTAATTGGTGTATTCATCCAGTTCTTTTGGGAATTGTAATATGTGCAATTTATAGTGCAAAGCCCCAGGAACCTTGCATAAAAAAAAATGCACAGTTGAGATCAAAGCAAGCATCAAGTAGCTCGGGTCAGATGCACAGTACATCCACAATGCCATGCAGTAGCCAGGCATTGTGGATGTTTGTTCATTTTGTTAAACCAACACATGATTCAAATATTTTGTTAAGCAATCCTCTTATGTTGACAGTTTTTAAAATCAGTGTAGTTTCACTTGCTAGAATAGTGTGCTCAGAAAGTGGTAGCATCCTCATTTAAGTACATTATCTCTGTGCCGTCAGGTCTTAGGCCAGGAGATCTCAGACTTCCCCTTGCCAGATCTGGCCGTGGTGGCGGAGCATTCGCACCCTGTAGAGCTTGGGAGGCTGCTGCAGCTCGTACTGGGGTGTGCTGTCAGATGTGAGCGTAAACAAGGTATTTGACTGCTTGTAACTTGTATTCACAAAGTAGACAAATACTCAAGCGTCTGTACAGAGCAGATGGATAAGGGAATGGTTGTGTCACAGTCCAGTTAGGTTAAGGCTGTCAAGTGAACAGTGTTTAATTGTTGTCCTGCTAATCAACTGATATGAGCAGAGCCCATCAAGGCAGCCTGATTGAGAAGTCAGTGAGGACAGTGTTATGTTGGACAGTTGATGAAAAATAATAAATGATGCATGTGTAGGGTTTTTTTTTTCTCTTCTTGTTTGCCAGAATACATTCAGATCATCATGACCCTGGAGGAGTCTGTGCAGCATGTTGTCATGACAGCTATTCAAGAGGTCAGTATGTTTCAGTACCACCCTCAGTCAAATCTATGTTGAGTATTTTCACCTTTCTGAACACCTGTAATTTGTCTCAGAGGGACTTCAGCATGACTTGTTTTATTGAGCCTGTTTAATAAACTCGGTGAACGTTTTTGGGTTTTTTTTCTCCAGCTGATGAGAAAAGAGACCATGGCTCCATGTGGTACAGAGTTGTCAGGAGACCTGGAACAGCAGGTCAGTGTTATTATTTGAGGGAACCATCTGAGCAGGAGACATTCTGATTCTTTTAATAATGTTTTTACTTTCTGCTGTGAAAATTGCTAACAAGCAAATTTTAATATTCAGCTTTTTATACCCCAACTTCACAAGGTATGAAAAAAAACCCTTTAATTAATGACTTTAAATTGTTCATTGACTTTCTGTTGGTTCATCATAGTCTTTATTTTTTTTTTAACTTATTCTTTCAGCTCTATTGTTCTATATAAACAGCATAACCCACCAATAGAAAAAATTGACAATAGTCAGTTTAACTAAAGCTTATTAGGTAGGTCGTCACTGGGACATTTATTCTAATTGATCACTTTGAAGAAAACTATGATCACTGTGCGGAGAATCCCAGATCCCCAATATCGACTCTCACTGCACACAAGCAGGATGGCTGGAGGAGTCCTGTGTAACCAGCTTGTCATCGGGATGAAACTGAAAATGGCCGTCCCTTACTGATTTCACACAAGATCTGCCTTAATCAAGTGGAAAAATATGTAGTACATGAAGAGGAAAGGAGGGTTAAACTAGGGTTTAAAAGCCTTTCAAGTTTCATGGCCTGAGTAGTGCAGTAGAACCAGTTTACCTGTGTTTCTGGTGTTTGGGAGTTAGTGAATGTATGTGTTGTTCAGTTTAGCTTCTCCTCCATGTATGCAGCTAAAAAAAGCCCTGGAAGACCTCGCTGAACTTGTAGCAGAGAAGGAAGCATTAGCCCAACGCTGTCAAGAGCTGGACATGCAGGTGAATACAGAACACACACACACACACTCTGTCTCTGCATGTACTTGAATGTTTGTACAGAAAAGTATACATCAGTAGAATTCATTTGCAGCTGCCTAGACTCTGTACATTCTGTAGGTTTGCCAATATTCACTTCCCAGTGTCTGCAAACCCCACACTCATGCCTGTGGTTCGGTATAAACAGGTGTTTTGTAATTCGCTCTAATGCTTGGGTCCATTTTTCTGGGGCTGCTATGGCAGAAAGGCAGCCAGCTCTGGCACTGCTAAAAGGCCTCATCAGCGTTTTAAAGCCAGACTAAATTTAGCATAGCCACTCATCAACTGTTCAACTGGACTCTCGACAGATTGATTTGTTCTCTCCCCAGTGTTGCTCAAGACTTGTTGCTGCAGGGTAAGTCCACCATGGCTGAACGCAAAACTAAACCTGCAGCTCAAATGTTTGTTCTAACTCTTTGAACGTTCTGTTCAAGACAAGTCATGCACTGTGTTTAATAATATTTTGTGGTGGTGTTTCACTAGGGACATCTGTCATAATTATTATTTTGTCATATGATGCTACTTTCTGTGAAAGTTGCATCACATTATTTCAAAATATACAGTAGGCTTACCAAATCTATAGGCTTTAACAGAAGTTAAAAGCTAGGGCCATGCAATTTTTCACTGTTACTGTTTACCAATTTCACTTGAGTCCTAATGATGATTATCATTTTGGTTTATAAAACTTTGTCTTCTAATGACAAAATTTGAAGGTAACAAAATGAGTTGCTGAATATTTCTTTTTACATGTCTGAAAAGTTTTAACGCACAATAGTGGAACATGGCTTACTGCATTATGAACATCAAGTTTATTGTCGTTATGTTGCATACATTTGTCATACAAATATGCTACATGTCATAGAAATGGGGTGGCCGTATTTCAGGGGTAGAGCAGGTCGACCCCTGGTTGCAGAGTTGGCGGTTCGATTCCTGTTCTCCCCAGTCCACATGTCAAAATGTTCTAGGGCAAAGCACTGAATCCTAAGTTGCTCCCAGTGATCAGGCCAGTGCCTTGTATTGCAACTCCACCACCATCTCTCTCTCTGTGTGTGTGTGTGTGTGTGTGTATATAGGTGAATCTGTAAAACCCTCTGTTCAGGTGTATTAGAAAAGCGCTATATAGGTGCAGTCCATTTATCATAGAAATATTTTTTTTATTAGTAGCTAATGTTGGACACTGATCATTGAGGTTTGTGTGTGGGTGTTTTTTTTTTTTTTTTATCCAATTCATAAACAAGACCAGGTTCATCTTGGACTCGTAATCCAGTGTATAGTGGTAAAAGTGCACATGAGGGAATGGATGGGTAAGAAATAAAGCTAACTGTGACTTAACATGTCTGCTTAACATTCACTTTGTCTGTGCCCTGCTTCCAGCATGGATTAACTGCACTGTTTGATTTAACAGCTGTGAGAGGAGGAGAGTTGTGTGAGAGAAGGGACTTGTCTTTTAAAGCTCAGATATTACTTTGCTAATTTGCATGAAGTAATTGATTTAAAAAAAGATTT